AAAAGTATCCTCATAATCAATGTCGTATCATTGTTTGAACCCCTTTGCTACTAGGAGTGCCTTATATCTGTCAATTTTCCCATCTGTTCTTCTTTTGATTTTATAGACCCACTTGCAATCTATCACATTTTTACCTTTTTGAGGTGGAACTAGATGCCAAGTTTTATTCCTGATCAATGCATCAAATTCAACATCCATAGCACACTTCCAATTATTATCGACTAAGGCATGTTGCAAATCAATAGGACCTTCAGTGGTGGCTGCTAACTGACCATATCGAATAGTTCCATCAGTGTAAATTTTTTGTTTGCGTATACCTTGTTGTAGACGCGTGGTGGGTCGCTGGAGAGCCGGTGCTGCAGGCGATGTAGAAGATCCGGTGGGTTGATCTGTGGCTGGAGCAGAAGATCCGTCGAGCGAAGATCCAGTGGGTTGATCTGTGGCTGGCGTAGAAGATCCGGCGAGCGACGGACCCAAGGGAGATTCTCCACCACTGGTCAAAATATCCTGTCCCCCCATCCGTGGAGCTAGGCGAGGCGAGTTCGAGACAGGTGGCGCATGCGGAGAGGATGCCGGTGAAGCTGACGCATTCATCACGAGCGCAGGAGTTGACGCCGCCGGATCCAAGACCGATCATGTCGGCTCCATAGTGGAAGGTGCAAGTAAATCAGCCTGGGGATCGCCGCCTATTCGTGCCAAAACGGGAAATTGCTCGGAGAGCATGAAATGACGCCCGTTTCCAGCCAGATTTAGTTCGTTTGATGCCGAATTTTTTTCATGTGCTGCACGCTTAGCCATAGGGTTAGTATGCAGGGAATTATTATCAAAATGATCTAAAGAATTGTCGTCCCCAAAATCATGAGAAGGATTTGTCAAAGTTGGAGGAAGGAGGAGAATTTCATATCATAATCGAGCATCGGCGTTTGGGTGGAGTTCGGCGAAGGGGAAGACGTGTTCATCGAAGACCACATCTCGGGAAATATAGACACGCCCTTCATTGACATACAGACACTTGAACCCCTTGTGTATGTTACTATATCCTAGGAATACACAGCGTTTGGAGCGGAATTGTAACTTGCGAGCGTTATAAGGCCGTAGATTCGGCCAGCATGCACAGCCAAAAGTACGAAGAGAGGAGTAGTCTGGTGTTTGATGAAATGGGCGTTCAAGAGGAGTTTGGTTATTGATAATTTTACTAGGGAGGCAATTAATAAGATAGGTGGCAGTGATAAAAGCTTCATCCCAAAATTTTAAGGGCATAGAAGCATGGGCTAAAAGCGAGAGACCTACTTCAACAATATGGCGATGTTTGCGTTCAGCGGAGCCATTTTGTTGATGTGCATAAGGGCATGAGACATGATGCGAGATGCCAATGCGCTGAAAGAAGGCATTCAGCTTTTGATATTCCCCTCCCAGTCAGTTTGCATAGCGAGAATTTTTCTATCAAATTAGCGTTCAACCATAGCTTGGAATTCATAAAATTTTTGAAAAACTTCAGATTTATGACGAAGCAAATAAATCCATGTAAACTTGCTGAAATCGTCAATTAAGCTAACGTAATAACTGTTTGTGCCAACAGAAGTGGGCGCAGGACCCCATACATCATAAAACACAAGTTCTAAGGGACTCAATGAGATACTCGTGGATCTAAGATAGGGTAGCTAATGACTTTTGCCCTTTTGGCAAGCATCGCAAACAATTTCTTTATTCAAATCGGCAACAAAGGGAATATTATTTTTGCTAAGGACTTGCTGAATGACTACAAAAGAAGGGTGGCCGAGACGACTATGCCACCTGGACGAAGGAGACTTGACAGCACCAAACGCCCCTTTATTCGATGATGGCCTAGACTTCAACAGGTAGAGGCCGCCTTCACATTCCCCTCTAAGGATGGTTTTCTTCGTCGCCTGGTCCTTAATCAAAAAATAGTTTGGATGATATTCAATAAAAGCATGTTTATCGGATGTAAGACGATGAACAGATGCAAGGCTTTTGTTAGCTTTAGGAACATAAAGAACATTGTTTAGAACAAGATTTTGATTTGGGGTACGAATAAAACTTCGACCAATTTGATTGATTCTCATACCTACACCATTAGTAGCATGAACCTTGTTGTTTCCATGGTACTTGTCCCTTACGGTGAGCTTCTCCAGCTCTCCCGTGATGTGGTCGGTAGCACCAGTGTCGGTGTACCAGTTGGTGTCGATCCCATATGACGCAGAGGAGGCAGATCGGGATTGCTCTGGTGGGCCAGTGAAGGAAGCATCAAAACGCTTGAAGCAGCGGAGTCCGGTGTGGCCCTCCTTGCCATAGAGCTGGCAGATGGGTTTATCGTCGTTGTAGTTCTACCGGGGGCGCCCGCTGTTGTTGTTGTTGCCACGGTTGCGGCCGCGCCCGCGTCCTCGGCCACCACCACCGCGGTTGAAACCGCCACGGCCTCCACGTGTAGCCGTGTTAGCAGATGAACCGGATCCACCGTGCAGGAGATCCATCCGATGTTCCCAGCTCACTAGCTGGGTGTAGAGCTCACCCAAAGATAGCGGCTCCGTGCACGTCGCGACAACCGAGACAATCGGATTAAAATCCATGTCAAGTCCAGCTAGTACATAGGAGATGATCTCTTCATCTTCAAGACGTTTGCCGGTGGCCGCCATGTCGTCAGCAAGAGAGTTCATCTTGTTGAAGTAGTCGGCGATTGTAGACGAGCCCTTTTGCGCTGTGGCCAACGCCATGCGCGTGTTGATGATACGGCCCCGAGACTGGGAAGCCGTCATCTCTGAGATCACTTTCCAAATCTCGGCTGATGTGGCGCAATTGGAGACTTGCACCTGGATCTCCTTGGAGATATTGGAGAGCAGATAGTTAACGATCTGTTGGTCCTTCGCAACCCAAGTTTCATACTCAGGGTTGGGGATGAGCTCAGTCGGCTTGTCGGCCGCCTTGGGGATCTGCTTCGCCGGCACCACAATGTCGGGCTCAAGATAGTGCGCTATCTGCGCACTGCGAAGAGCAGACAGCACCTAGGCGCTCCATAGGGGAAAATTCCCTTTGCCCAGCTTCTCGGTGACGGGACAACCGATCAGAGAGAACGATTGTTGAAGCGCGGAAGAGGAAGCCATCGAGAATATTGTGGACTAACTTAACTCTGATTACCATGTGAAAATGGTTGGAACGTGATGCCCTCTCAGACTCACGGCTTCGTGTTAATATAGCCAGGAAGAGCCCCTGGCGTAGCGGTACAACTTGTACAACAAGAAAAAGCTAACTACTTTGGTAACTCTAGATTTCATCACAAGATTACATCAATCAGGAGATACCTATCCTATCTAATCGAAGCCGTGATACTTGCCTTCACCCGCAATCCAAGCCTGAGTGCACAACCAATCTTCAGGAGATATCAATCAACCAGATATTGCGGTCATGTGATCCTATTTGATATTCTTAACACCGAGTTGTGTTTATAGCCCATTCTCGTCGAGAAATTTCCTTGTCTATTGTCCATGTTCTCATGATCGTCCGTCAATCCTCGGTTCCAACAAGTCAAAGGCGCAGAACGAGATCCCACACGGGGCGGCATGCGCGTGCGTGGTAAGGAGCGACGCCGGCGTGATGGCGCCGCGGTACTTGAAGGCCCGCAGCTCCGGTGTGCCGACGATGAAGGTGGCCAGCCCGTGGCAGGGCCAGCCTACGGAGGCGCGTGCCATCGGCGGAGAGCACGGTTAGGTTCTCGCAGGCCTCGAGCGTTAGGTCGACGAGGCTCGGGCAGGCGGAGACCAGCCGTTGTATGGCGCCGCCGCGCCTTCGGCTGGTGACCCTTGTCAGGTGCAACGTGTCCAGGGACGGCAGGGCGTTGGTCGATGGCAGCTCATTGTTGGGGTTTAGTCCCACATCGTATAGCGATGGTGGGGGAGCACAACATATAAGGCGGAAGAAGCCCCCACCTATAAGGCTAGTCTTTTGGGTTGAGAAGGCCCAAGGCCTTATATGCTGTAGCTCCAGTGGACCTGTGACCTGTGGGAGCGCAGGCTCGTGGTAATGAGCCAGGCCGGCTGTAAGCTAGCTCTAAGATCGTGAACTCGGTGGTTACCACCAGTTCCAACAATTGGAGCTGGCTTGCAGCCGGCCCGGCTCGTTACGAGCCTGCGCTCTCACAGGTCCCAGGTCCACCGAAGCTGACAACATATAAGGCCTTTGGGCCTTACTCAACCCAAAAGACTAGCCTGATAGGTAAGGGTTATCCCGCCTTATATGTTGTGCTCCCCCACTATCGCTACACGACGTGGGACTAAACCCCAACAATCTTCCCCTTAGTCACACATCGGGGTGCCCCGCCATATGCGACGCTCGAGATTTTTTATCGGGTTTAGCTTTTCTGACCATGGGCTCTGATACCAATTGTTGGAACTGATGGTGACCACCGAGTTCACGATTTTGGAGCTGGCTTACAGCCGGCCCGGCTCGTTAACATGAGCCTGCGCTCCCACAGGTCCCAGGTCCACCGGAGTTACAACATATAAGGCATTTAGGCCTTACTCAACCCAAAAGACTAGTCTGATAGGTGAGGGTTCTCCCGCCTTATATGTTGTGCTCCTCCATCATCGCTACACGATGTGGGACTAAACCCCCGGGCCGACTGCAAGCCAGCTCCAAGATCGTGAACTCGGTGGTCACCACCGGTTCCAACAATTGGTATCATGAGCCCATGATCAGAAAAAAGCTAAACCCAATAAAAAATCTCGAACGTCACATATGGCGGGGGCACCCCGATGTGTGACTAAGGGGGAGATTATTGGGGTTTAGTCCCACATCGTGTAGCGATAGTGGGGGAGCACAACATATAAGGCGGGAGAACCCTCACCTATCAGGCTAGTCTTTTGGGTTGAGTAAGGCCCAAAGGCCTTATATGTTGTCAGCTTCGGTGGACCTAGGACCTGTGGGAGCGCAGGCTCGTAACGAGTCGGGCCGGCTACAAGCCAGCTCCAAGATCGTGAACTCGGTGGTCACCACCGGTTCCAACACTCGATGCAGCAGCGGCCGAGGCGGAGTGCGCGTAGCACGGCGCTGGAGGAGAAGAGGCTTCTCGGACGACGTACTCCTCGACCCGATCGGGCCCGTCGTTCATCGGTGGTGACATCGGCGGTGGCAGCGGTGGCGTCATCAACGTCGTCGGCGTCATCAACGTCGTCGGCGTCATCGTCTTGTCCTTCCGCCATCTCGTAGTGCATGTCCATTTTCCTTGCGTCGTGCTCTTGCTCGATGGCGTCACCGGGTTCATGTCCATCCAGAGCGAAGGGCGTACGCCCAATCGCAAATGGGTTCCGTGCCGAGGCGCAGGTCGATCTCCATCCTCTCGCCGGCGCCATGCACGGCGTACGAGAGCCAGCCGTCCACGGCCTTAGTGGCATCATCCCCGCCGCGGAAGCCGAACTCGTCGAACGCGACGCAGAGCGGGCGCCACGGTGGCGGCAGTTGAGCGCGGTGGTGACGCCGGTTACAAAGCGCTGAGCCCCCGCCTCCCCGAAGGAGAGCGTGTGCACAGCGGCGAGGATTTTACCAAAATTCACCAAGACTCCAGAGAACATTGTTTTATCATGAACAAAATCTTGGATTTCGTGTTGCATCTTAAATTGATTTTTTCCAACATATGTGTAATGTGTATCTGTGCTTGTACACATACACAAGGGGACTGAAACGGGCCAATTCTCGGCTGCTGTTATCAGCTGTTCCATTCTCGTGACCAATCACGCAGAACCACGGTAAAGAGAAACATTGCATAATGTTACAGGACACCTATACACACTAAATTTCATCATTCCGTTTAAGTTTCGAAATGGTGTGGCAATACATCACAGCAGATTCTTCAGTCTTGACGCCACAATGCAGAAGTATGCCGACCATAACTCTTGGATCAGTTAGCAAGTGAAAAAATACCCAAGATTTGCATGCAAATGATTCTGCATTCATAAGCAAAAGAAGAATGTCAAAAAAATTCAAATATACACACAAAAGGTGGTGACTGATTCCTCCAATCCCCTGAAGCTACCACACACAGCATTGTGCCGTACATAATACATTCAGCCTTTTGCATGTACACATGTACTGAATTTAATAATTTCCCTGAAAACTAGACAAAATAACCAATGTGATGGCTCGCACCTGAGAACGTCAAAAAGCTTAGCCATCAGAAGGTAACTGGTCCTCCTCAAGCTCCATTGTACATATGAAACATTCCCTCTGGAAGATCAAGAATTCCTGACAAACATTGAATAGCCATTTTGTTAGTGCCAAGGGGGAAAAAATAAGGACTGGGTGCATTAACAAATGAAAGATCATAGAAGTAACCTGCAACTGCTGCTGGCTGAACAAATGCATCATTCCAGACTCGGCTGAACCAACTAACTCAATTAGTTTGTCACAGTTATCTAGAGAATCACCTGCTGCGGAGAGTGCGATACATGCCTGCCAAATAAAAGCAACAAAAAATAATGTATCATCTACACTGGAGAGAGACAGCAAGAAACTATATGTATTTTGTACTATGATTTGCTTGATCACCTGCATAGATCTTAGAATTGTTTCAGGAAGGCAGCATCTCCGACACAGCCCTCGAATTATGTAAGCAGCAGTGCTCTCCACAGAGCCACTCCCATCAGAATACCAAGCATCAAGCCGTGAAATTGCCATTGAAACTCCAGGTTGGAATCGACTGAGTTCACCTGCCATAACAAATCATTCAAAACCACTGCACAAAATATTTCAAACAGTGGTCGCCTTTTAGAGTGAAGATACCTTTAAAGCCAGCAGCCATGATTGCGGCAAGAAGACCTCCAGCATTGGCTTCATGAAGCCCATATCCATCACCTTCTGCTCCTAAGCAGCGAAGAGCAACTTCAATACAGCATGGATCTCTAGAAGAGACCTCGACATCCACCTGCTCATTTGCTCAATAGATAATACACATTTAAAATTTGCTGAAGTCCACTAAAATATATTGAAGTTGGAAGTCAAAGTGCTGTCAACAGTTCTTACTAGGCACTATAACTATTTTGATTGACTTACATGTAACGAGCCAGACTTAACAAATTTATTTTGGAAGCAAAAAATCTTTGAGCAAAAGGACCAAACCTTCAACTGGCGATGCAGCACATCATCTTCACTGACAGTTGAATATAGTGCACTTGTCAAAGCTGTGCATGATGTTGCATCTGGTAACATACATTCGCCAGAAGGTAGGCAGAGCATTGCAGAAGCATGCAGCTCAAGGAAAATAACCTCTGGGGATTCAAATGGACTGCTCTCAACAGCATACAACCATGGTCTTTCATCCCCTGATTGCAACGGACAAGAACATCAAAAACAAGGAAAACAAAGTCGAATGCTTACATATACAATCGAAATTTTTGCAGCAGTGAGAAGCATATTTTCACACCGGTGCATCATATAAAACCATTTATGTCTTACTGCATAGTAACAAGAATGCCAAGTCCAGTGTTTCTTTAGCTGCAGCAACAGCTTGATCCTTTTCCTCTGCCGAAAGCATCTCAGGAGAAACAGCGGCATTCTTCATCTCAATTTTAAGCCAACTGCGGTAAGTCGCATCCAGGGAGTAATATTCATGCTGTTTGGCCATACAAAAGCAACACTTGGTTAAGAATACTTATTAGATTCATTACATAAAAATAACAATATTATTTGCATAAAGAGAAGATGCACATCGGTATTAACAACAGAGACCATACCCAATCTTCAAACTCCATTAAGTTATCAGATACCTCCGGATCTTCCAGTGAAATTAAATTTTCTTTTTGCTTTAACGGTTCAGCTAAAATGGCAAGCAACTTGTGTGGCCCTGCTGGTAGCTCAGGGACTCTCCTCATTGATATCAGGGAAAACTCCCTGAACAGTGTATTGCTGATTGATAAAGAAATAATATATAAGTTTCATGATAATGTCTTTTTGGGAAAAAGGAAATAAAACCCACATATAAATTTGCAACGATAAATATAGTGATGGCATGAAAAAAATATGAATCCATGTTTCTCTTGAACAAGAACAAATCAGAGAACTAATTACCTATGCATCAATGCCCGTATCAGAAGCTTCCCAGTGATCATTTGAAAGTCTGGAATCGAGGATGGTGGCGTGAAGCAAAGCCACTGAATAACCATTGCCTTTTGAAGTGATTGCAGGTGATGTTGATGCGCAACATCAGAGAAATCCTCATCATACTTACTGGGTTTTGTTTGTCGAGATCTTGAAAGCACCCTTCATTAAATTTCAAAACTTCTAAGAATATATCGACAAACACAAACAAAAAGTCTGAAACTCGGTGAATTTTATGCAACATATTCACAGGATCAACAAACCTTTCAATGATCTCTTCAAAACAAGCCTTGGATGCATCATCAGATGAGAATGGCAGATATTCCACAGCAGAAAGGAAGAGCTTGTACATAGTATGCAAACTGTTGCGAGAAAAAGAAGTGTGAGCATGTACATTGAATTCATTTAAAGTTACTGAATTAGCTCCAGTCTTTAATCTGTATTGCGTGCTGCCACTTTGATTTGCCAACAAGGCAACAACCAAAGGACAGGCAAGATCGAACAACCAAAAATACACTGATATAACCTGTGTCCATTATTATGAAAAACAATGGACAACCGAAAATAAAACTGATATACCAAGATACTCACAACAGCAGACAATTACTTAGATAAGCATATGATAATAATACCTGCTATTTAACCTTAGTTCCATCATTTCCACAAACAAATTAATGCAAAGGTCATGTTGAAGCTGAGAGGCATATACTCCAACCAACTCTTCTTGATCTTCTAAGAACAAATACCTCACGTACCTGGAGTCATTAAATTTTCATTTATGATGATAAATAAGACACATCAAGAAGGCATACACAGCATCTGGACTAAGGTGAGAATGTAAGATCAACAAAATTAAAACAGCAATGCTTAGTTTAGATAAAATAATAATACTCCCTCCGTTCCTTAATATAAGCCATATAGTTTTTAGCACCAATATTAACGCACGGCTTAGGGAAGGATGTGAGACCGAAGAAAAAAAGGAAAATCAGGTCATCTTCTCTCTCCCAATCAGATTGCTTCCTAAATCTAAAGGATTGGTTAGGGCATGTGCTATGTACGGTGGGAAAGTTTCCAAACTAATCGGCGTGGGAGCTGATACGTACCTATATTTTGGAATTTTCTTTAGAAATCTATATGGCTTATATTAAGGAACGGAGGGAGTACTAGAAATAAAGGATCAAGCCCTTGATAAATTTGATGGAAACGATGCATGCTACTTATGTAACTGTATTGTGGAAATTGTTATGCTATAGTACCATACAATTGAAACTTAAAATCACCCAAATGGATATTAAGGACCAGTAATAGTAATTGATTAAGCCCCAAAAGGCGAAAATTGAAAAGTTGGGCCTCAACGGCAATGCAAGATTAGTTCTTCATAAATAATACTTACATGTTGATGATGAGATCACCAACAGTAACCAGTTTTTCATCCAACTCATCGTCCATTTCATCACTGAAAAGGTGCCTCAGCACAAGAACAATATGTGCCCCGAAGCGTATCATCTCAGGGTCATCAAGGGGCCTAGATGAACACAGAAGTTATTGAAAAGTGATATGATAAACGGATTTAAGTATTTGAAGATTATCACATACAAAATCACAGACTTTACCTTGCAGTATTATTATGGTTCTCTTCAGCAGATGATAACCATGACCATAGAAGGTCAAGAAGATGAGATATATGTCCACTCATGAGATTCATCTGCAATTAGACAATTAGGGGATCTGTAACACCCTAAAATTTGCATCATTTTAAAATAGGTGAATTTGATTTAATTATGCATTTTGTGAGCATGTAAACTTAGAAAAATAATAACTTTTGTTAAATTAAAATCAACTATAACGTCTAGCAATATGTTTGTGCATACATGCTGCTGCATATTTATTTTTGTGATGATTGGGTTTGATCAAAACTGCAAAAGAATTTGAATTTGGTTTTGAAAATGTGTTTAAGGAAAAGAAAAGGATTTTTTTACCTCTCTCTCCCTCGCAGCCCAGCTTCCAAATCCTCTCTCCCCACAGCCCAGTGCGCTACGCGCGGCCCGCTTGGCCAGTCGGCCCAGCAAGCGGCCCAGCCGAAGCTGTGCGGAGGCGCTGCCCCTTTTCTCCTTCTGCCTCTCTGCCGAGTCAGCCCCGCGCCTGGAGTCGCTGACACACTGGGCCCGCGTGTCAGCCGCGTCTTCCTCCTCCCGTTCGTGTCCGAGTAGGACTCTGCTCCGCCGGGAGTCCGCATCCACCTCACTTCCCGCCCAATTGGCGTGTGCCCCACGCTGCCCTACCCCTTAAATAGCGCCCTACGCCCGCGCCGCCTCCCTATCTAGCCCGAGAGCAAGCCGCTACCGCTCTCAGAGACCACAGCGCCGCCGCCCAGCTCGCCGCGGGCAACGCATTCCCCTCCCTCTTCTAATCTGGACCGTCCAGATTAGATCCAACGGATCAGATTTCATCATACCATTTCGCTGGTTGTTTTGCAAGAGCCCCTCCCTTTTCCAGTAATCTAACCCTCAGTCTATAACGTATACTTCAAAATACGTTTTCTCTTTCTGAAAGCATAGTTTCCCTCTGTTTGATTCAAAATACGTTTTCTTTATTTACAGATTTGCCACTGATCTTGTTTTAGCCATAACTTCTTCGTTTTAACTCCGTTTTGGTCCGTTCAAGTTGCATTAGATTCGTAATTGAGTAATCTACATGTTCATCCTACTGTTAGACATGTTTTCAACTTTTGAAATTCGAGGTTAGATTTAATTTATTATTTTATTAAAGGAAATCTTGTTTAATTCATAACTTCTTCGTTATAGCTACGATTTACATGATCTTCGCGTCTGTGTGTTCATAGCGAGACGTAGATCCATTTTACAAACTTTTCATCTTGATTTTATGTTGTTGGTGTACTGTTCTAATCTATAGCCTTTGTTTGCTATGCATGATTGCTTCTTGATGCTTGTATGTTGTTGTGATGATCGTATATAGACGGTGAGCAATTCATGGGTGATCAAGAGTACTACTTTGACGAGCAGGATCAGCAGGAACACTTTGATCAAGACAAGTATAGCATGGGATCATCCTTTTTCCTATTAACCTTAATACACTTAATTCATGTGCATATGTCTCCTTGTTATATTTAAGGATTTCCTAGAATTGGACTTATACCTTGTCACCTATAGGATATGCATTGGGTAGCCTTTGCTAGTGCTCAACTAACCATGATCTTGTAACTTGACTAATGGTATATGCAATAAACATTAAAACATGACTTTTTAGCAACTTAGAAAAAGGGGGCTGGAGCATAGTTGTTAAGGCGTCGCTATACCGACGCCATATCGTCGCCATATCGCCGTGGCGTTTTTCTGGCTCTCGCCACGGCTCCGGCGTTTATGGCGTCCGCCATAGCGCCGTGGCGTCCCCGTGGCGCCGATTTGGCGTCCTGTGGCGCCTTTGTGCGCTGTGGCGGGCGCAATAGACGGTGAGGGTGCGGGTGAGGCCGTGAGGGTACCTGTATAGGCCGAGTGGCCGATTGGAGCCCTCCGAGACCGAGCCTGAGACGCAACCGCAAGCAGCCCTCCGAGCAGCCGCCGCCGCCGTCGGCCGCCGGGACGGTCGCCCTCCGCCCGCCCCCGCCTGGAAATCCGTCCGCTTCACCCTCTGTCGGCCTCCCCCGCCCTCCGTTGGCCTCCCCCGCCCTCCGTCGGCCTCGCCCGAGCCCGAGCCGGCCGCCCCCGCCTGGATCTCCCGAGCCGCCGGCTCACCGCCTGGATCCACCCGTGAAGTAGTGAAGCTCTCTAGTCTCTACTCCAAGGTTCAAAAAAGCGGAGTCGGACGGCGGGCGCGGGCGCGGGCGGCGGGCATGGACTGAGAGCTGCGGGAGAGGGAGAGGAACCGGCGGCGGCGGGCGCAGAGGCAGAGATGCGGGCGCGAGAGAGATGCGAGAGGAAGAGGAACCGGTGGCGTGCGGGCGTAGAAGAGATGCGTGCGGGAGAGGGAGAGATGCAGGAGAGGGAGAGGATGTGGGAGAGGCTGTAATGTGGAGAGGTGGGTCGTTAAATGGGCCTTCTTCTCTTTCTCCCTATTTCATGACCCCTAATCTCCTATTTTTTTCCTTTTCTTTTAGGTATTTATGCATGTATTAGCCATCGCCTAGAGAAACGCCTTGAAACGCCTAGGCTCTAGGCCGTGGGTCGCCGCCTAGAAACCGCCGCGCCGATGTGTGTATGGCGTCGCCACGCCGCGCGTCATAGACGCTGTAAAGGTGTGAAGGTGGTGGGTCGCCGCGCCTCGCCACGCCGCAGTAAAAACTATGGGCTGGAGTATTTAGCTACTTTCTAAATGCTTCAAATTCCTCTCCCTAAGGACTTATCTCTAAGTGATCATCCGGGACTTACAGTACAACTGTGAGGGCCACATGGCTCTGGCTTTAGCTCAGTACAAGGACATTTTCTAGCTTGTTAGTGGTTACCTTTATGGCGCAAGAGGGGCTTGACGAATCAGGTATAGTGCTGCCTTTGTCTTTATGTGTATAGCCTACGCGGAGTGTGCCATTTAGAAGGGGAGCTCTACATCTGTTTGTCAATTGGAAACCTAGCGGTCCTAACTTGTTAGACGAATCTTTGAAAGACTTCATAATGTACCCTGCCTGCTCACCTTGTAAGTGTTTTGGGAGTTATAAACCCGGGCGTATAGGTAATCACGACTCATAGTAAAAGTGTACAACCTCTGCAGAGTATAAAACTGGTATATCAGCCGTGCTCACGGTCACGATCGGCCTTGGAACCCTTATGGAATAGATGATCACTATTAATTACTTGTTTATGCTATTCATTAATCATGTTTGCATTGATCATGTGTTTACTTTGGGATTATGACAACTTGTTGCTACTCTTATGCTAAAATTGTGACAACTAAAAGTTAAATGTTGTTAAACCTGTGTCAAGCCTTTGAGCCTCATGAACCCCATGTTACACTTGTTGAGTACGAGATGTACTTACGCTTGTTTATTTTCATTATTTGGATAAAAATCCCGGATGGGTAACAGATTGCTATGGTGATGACGACTTCCCTGAGGATTACTAGTCTTGTGGCCAACCAGTTGACATCCTTGTGCTATAGAGCTTCCGCGAGAGAGTTATCTTTATATTTCCGCTATAGTTATGTGAAGACTGTGATATTATTCGTGATGTAATAAACACTTGTGATGATACTTTCTATAATTTGCCGGCTTATGTGTGATTGATCTCTGGGCGCACATAAGATTATGCATCCCATTTTATCCTTAAAATTAGGTGTGACAGGATCGCAGTTCCAAATGGGTAATGATCTATCAATTTTAATTCGTGGGAACTTTCAATGAAGTGTGTTTTTTAGCACATTAATCATATGTGCCTTCCAGTTAACATGGGTCAACAAAAAAAATCATAAAGTTACTGAGTTAGAAAAGAATTGCATCCTACAACTCTCCAACATGGAAAACAGGTAACAAAGACATGTTCATATGCTTGGAACTTTGGATCCACACACATGTACAGGTGTTTTACTAGAAGGGCCTTGGTTAATGTAAAACAAAAACTGGCATATATCATAAAAATTAGCCCAATTCCAATGCTATCATGTAGAGCAATTTACTCAGTTCAGTAAATACCATTAGAAAAGAACATAGACAAAATGCGTGATGCACAGAACAGAGGTTGTCCTTCAGCAGTTCATCCTTGGAAACAAAAATTACCTGAATTTGTCGATGCTGCTCCCGGCATGCTCGAGACACAGTTTCATGAACAAGGTCACTGCATCACATGAGTGAACAATAGTATAAGTAATTAGAAAATGGAAAGGATCATAGGAAGCACTAAATATTTAATACCTTGAGTGGAGTTTCTGCAGAAGAGAAGTTAAATCACGAGGTTGCTGATCAAGAACATGGTATGGCCAACTTTCTGGACCAACTGAACTTTGGGCTCCATTCATGTCATCATCAAGCTGCTTTTCATCTGGTCTACTTGTTTGGTACTGAGATAATTCTAGATCCACTTGAACATCTAGCCAGGATCTTGCCATTGCCCAACAAGCTGACTAGGAAAGGGAATGAAAAAAGATGCATCACAAACCAGCAGTCGAAGCCTACCTGGAAAGAATAAAATCAAATCTACAAAATACCTCCCAGTCAGTACAGATTGGTAAGACACGCTTTAAGTTACTGCACTGTAAAGCATATACAGCCATCTCATAATGGCCTCCATCTTGCTCAGCAATTTTCTGAAAGAATACTATCAATTCAGAGTGCATGTAGAGAAGCAGCAAACATAAAGAATGAAACAGACCAGTTGTTCAATAAGTACAGAACTGCTAAAAACACAGAAAGAGGCATACTCTACAGCGAGAGTAGAGTTCACCTCTGAAGCACAATACGATGCCCATTTCCAAAGATGCCACTGCCGCCCAACACCACTTTCTAATTCAATGGCTTGTAGTGTTCTGTACTTTCCATTCTTGTGCAATGCATCCAGGGAAGGGAACATATCTATGCCACCAAAAGGACAAAGAGTGGCAGCTCTCCATGCCTGAAAGTATACTCAATAGTCAGCATCAGAAAATAATAGAGATGATAATAAGATTAACACAATCTACCATGACTGATCTACCTGGCCAGCAGAACGGCACAACTCAGATGCCTCTTCTAATCTTCCTGCTCTTAGAAGAGTCCATATATCTTCTAGAAGCAATTCATCTTGCTTCTGCTTATAGACAAACAAAAGGAAATTTGGTATTACTATAATTGAGGCATTAAATGAAAAAGATTTCAGAAGATAAGCATTGTTTTGTATATAGTGACGTTAGTCAATTTGTTTCCTTTAGTTCATTGAAGAAATAAATTTAAAAAGGCAAGATCATCCAGGAAAAACAAGGGATAGGAACATGAAAGTTGACTAGTTCACATAAGTGAAAGAACGGTCCCAGAAAGGTCAAATGAAACCAACTGCAATGCATATTTCCAGCATCAGCATAAAAGATTATATGCACCATAAAAGCCTACCTTGTCATCAGGAAGAAGTTGGGCTCCTTCACGAGTTGGAGCATCAAAATCCACATGCTTCACTATAGTAGAATCATTATTATTTCTTTTTAGGTACCTCTGTGTACGGTGCCAAACACCAGAACTTGGTAGGTATGAACCAACATGATGTCCTCTCACCTACATGAGTGAATAAGCAGAATGTCATCTTATTAATTTGCTCACACATATAACTCGATCAGCTACTCTATAGTTTGTCCTATGACTAATACCAACAGAAAACAGTCCAAAGGGTAAAGAAATAACTGAATCAAGAAGATCTGGACAAATCTTAATGAATGAGCCATGGATATGTCATAGTTATGCTGTAGACACTACCATACGTGTGGGCGTACCCAGTGCAGAGAGCTCCCGCTCTGTGCGGGGTCTGGGGAAGGGTGTTAGTGGCAAGCCTTACCCTCGCCTGTGCAATGCGAGGAGACCGCGACTCGAACCCGGGACCTTCCGGTCACAGGCGGTAAGACTCTACCATACGTGTAAATATAGAATTACAGATTACTAATATCTTTACTCACTTGTCATGGAAATCCTAAAAATTACTCCCTCTGTCCCAGAAAACTTTATTTTTAGCTTTTAGACACTAGGGTGGTGTTTGGTTCATGTTGTGGGAATGGGAACGCCAATGGAATCCGATACTGCTGTGATCTGTTATGGCTAATGGTTAACAAAATTTGTTTGGTGAGCTCATGTAATCGGGTAGTCCAAGAGGAAGCAGGGAGCAACAAGCCAGCAAAGGCAGCAATGACATCGCACCGACGCGGACTGTGGAGTGGCGGCGGCGGCGGAGATACCAGAGCCGTGAAGTCGTGAGGTGCTGAACGAGAAGCGGTGGCGGCGGACATCGGAGCTCGCGATTACAAGAAGCGGCGGCGGCGGACACCGGAGACTGCGATTCGCGAATCGAACGCCTCGCACGAGAGACGATCGAGTGGCGGTAGACACTGGAGCTCGCGATTACGATAAGCGGCGGCGGCGGAAGTCGCAACGCCTCGCGCTATCTAGGGACGATCGAGTGGACGGGGAAGGGAATGGATAACGCTGGTTTTGGAGAGGTATCGAGGTTGTATAAGGCCGTATCAGATGCCGCTGGTAACAGATACGGGCTGGTCTAACCAAACATAAATCAACGCTATCGGTTCACGCTGTAAATGGATAACGGGCAAAAGTGGCGGAACCAAACAGCTTGTAGGTTGGACCCATATCAGCCTGAGATTGCAGCCTGAATGCCTCCACGCATTCTTTTAATTAGCGGCTTATTCCTTGTTTAGTGTGGATCACCTTCAATAAATAAGGGTACATGTGTAATTTCTATTGAGCACTAATCTGTTCTATAAAGATCCTAAAACATCAAGTATTTGGGACCGAGGGAGTATATTAGTGGAAGGTTGCTCCATTCCATGTCAATCACGTGACACTACAGAATTCCCACAAAATAAATGATAATAGTCATTAAAAAATACCTTACCTTCTTCTCCAAATCAAGAGCTTCAGAAGCAAGACCTTCAAGCCAAAGTATGATCCGCAGACACAGTTGTGCTGTAAGGTCTGCTGCAACAAAGCGGCAAGCCTCCTGATGGGATGTAATTGGCGGCTGTTTACAAGTACATCTCAAAACTTAGGTGAATATACATATCAGAGGACAATAATTCAAAGGAGAAAAAAAAAGGACTTGAATCCATTGGTAGCTATAACTTAATATGTCTTACCACCAACAGCTCTCCAGAAAGCTCCTCATGTCCTGTCATGAAGCAGATCAAATAGTCAAGAAAATACAATAGTTACTCCAGAAGTACTCATTTATAGTTATGGTACTGCTAATGAAAATCATAGAAAGAATGATCTGTTTATAAGTATCCAAATATTGGAACTATTACCTTTGCCATAGAGGTGCCAAAGAAGTGACCAGGAAGCAGCTTCGTCCAGTAAAAGTTGTGCCTTTTGCTGCATAAGTTTATTGTCCACCATCCGAAGCTTTCCAGTGGCAGCAGATCTGAAAATTTAAGAGTGTCACACAGATATCCCAAAGTTAGTATATAAGCTATAATACAGGCATCTCATCAGTTGACGTTAGCAGCCTTGTGCTTTAGTTGAAACAAATAGGGAAAAGAACTACATTCAGTCAGTGATAACTTAGCTGTGAAGAAATGAATGGCAAACTAAGTCCTTAAAAATCTAATCAGCAATTTGACTAAGTAACAGTTAAATTTTAACAGGCAAAGTGTCACTTCTAAGAGTTTCGGAGAAGTAAAATACTAAAATCTAACAGTTGAAATGAAGTTTGCAATGACAACCTGATTGACTCGGAAGCATTTCGACATGTCCTCTCGAATTGTTGAATTACATCTGGGAAGGGCATCAAACCTGAAACAGAAAAGAGACATTAAATAACACAACTAAGTCGTTAAAAATCTAATCAGCAATGAACTGGAAAATGGAAAGGAAGTAAAGGGTGTTGCTTTATGTCATGCAACTCAAGAACATAGCTAAAACCTACACACTCCCTAAATTCAGATTGCCAGTCACTGTATAAATAAGGATGGAGATTTCTGGTGCTTCCATTAATCATCTGGTAAATAACAGATGGTCACACATGTGCTACAACGCTGAAGATGAATGGAGAAGATCAGAAAATTGAGGATAGAATTCACAGCCACCCAGTAATAAACTGCTATATTTTGCTACTTGAAAATATGTGTGATTTATTTCAGAAGAACAAGTTTGATTAAGTATTCATTATTGGTTAAAATCAAATAAAACAAAAAGGAAAACAATAACACTGATTATAAGCACATTAATTGACAATAAACATAAAACAACATACAAACAAAGCTTTGGAACAGAAAGCATCACCTTAACAAAAGAAATCATCCCAAAAACAAGGGAAAAAACAATAGCACGTGCCATAGTAACTACTCCTACAAGAAGGTCAGTAACCAGACCACTGTACTCTTCTAACCTTGGTTCGCAGAATCGAGGAGAGTTGCAAACATTGTAAAAGACGTTTCTCCTTCATGTGGCACATATATGTCGTCCTCCAGTTTGACTGGTTTCAGCGTCTGCCTCACCGCTTGCCTGCCCGAACTGTAAGCCACGTCTGATGCAGAACCGCCATCAAGAGATGTCCTTTTCGCTGAACTGTACAGTCTCGATCCATCCAAGCTTTCTATGTTGGAATAATCGGCAGCCTCCTGCTTTATGTCTTCAAGGAGTAAACCAGCATTAGGCCGCCTCGGGATGCTTTCTCCATCGTATAACAGCCTTGGTCCAGAGGACTTGGAGAGTGAGCTTCCCAGCAGAGGAGAGACATTTGAAGAAGACAATCTCTTTCTGTAAATTGCAAAGCGAAACACATAATTAGCAACCACTGGCAGATAAAAAAAAAAGAACTAGAATGTCCGCACATATCACATACATAGGGTTTCATATAACTCTCCTGTGGTAAAATTAGCTGCCTAAACCATTTCGGCCATATACAAAGAAAACTAGCTGAAAAAATAGGCTCAATGAGCCAGTAAGTACAGAATTTGTCCTGGACTAGAACACAATAAGCCAGTCTGAGCATCGAGAGGCGGCAGAGATTGGCTTGTGCGGTTGTGCCATTCAGGCACTCCCAAATCACACAAAGTCTCATCTGTGCATTGGGAACACTAGTAACATGTTGTGATTTCTATGCAACAAGATGTTGGGCTTAATATGCTTTCCAAGCAATTGGAGGTTCCAAAATGCTGCCGAGGTGACAGGGCATTCGTACTCGGGGTCTCAACGAACTGACACACTTTATCACCAATGAACCCATGGAAGCTCCAATTGGTACGCGCAGCCCCGAGAACACATCTAGACAAGACAATCGCACAAATCAACCAATCTCCCCAACCAATCCCTCCCACCCATTCGAACCTCAACCGTCGCCAATCACAACTAAACTAAGCCGCCACACCCGCGTCATCTATTCGGCAGCGCAGCATTTGGGAACGCGAATGAAGGAGAGGGGGTAGGAGGGGGAGCGAGCGCCTGACCTGTAACGGCGGTACTCCTCCCGGCGGCCGGAGGACTCCGGGTCGAAGTAGCTCGGCGTCGCCGCCAGCGGCGGTGGCGGCGGCCTGGACGAGCGCGGCGACGGCGAGGGGTCCACCTCCATGGTCGCGAGGGTTCAGCTAGGGTTTTGGTCCCTCGCCTCGCCGGCGGAGTCAGTGACTGCGCGCCGCGAGAGAGCTCGAAAAAGAGACAGAGGAAGAAAAGGAAAATGTTAATCGCACGGTTTTCGTGGGCCCAATCTGGGCTTCGCTTTCTGCGTGGGCCTGATTGATGGAAGTGTTTATAGGCCGGGCTCACAGTCACAGCGCGTTGGCGATCTCTCTGAGTATAACTTTCCTACTAGGCACCTTTTTTTAGATTTTTTCGAAACAGAAGATGTATATAAGCAATCATCAAAATCAAATTCAGCAACACGTAATGTTGGATTATCATGATGATTTGTCCAGCTAATACTTATGACCAGTCCACGTCATGTCTCTACCGGGACGGGAGGATAAAGATCGCTGATGGAGTACGGGGCTAAACTCTTATCCAAAACGGAAACTATATGGGGTGAACACAAACTTCAAAATCTGGATACCGCTCACGGCAAAGCATCAGTTTCTGCTTCCTAGTTGCACAAACGTTAGCCCCGATGAGAAGTCGTGCTGCTCTTCAAGAACCCGTTGGACTCTAGTCTACATCATTCGTATATATCTATTATGGTATATATATATATCTCTACTATAATCGATCAATCAAAATTGTACTAGATCCTCCAGAAAAAAGTCACCCGCTGAGAGCTTCCAACCATTGTGCACCCAGGAAAATGCACACAGTAATTTATCTGCATTAAAATCAAGGGCTAATAAAACACCTAAACCAAATCCGATGACCACAATTAGATGTGGGATGCTAGGCTTTTCACCCCGCGCCCTCCATCCCACGCACCGAAGCTTCAAACGCGCCCCCACCCGTGCGATCACGGAAAAAAAAGAAACGCACGACGCCCGACTCCCAACACTCCACACCGCCGCCGCCAATGGACGCGTCAAGGACGCCATGGATCCCTCTCCTCTAGCTCTGAACCAACCGCTCCTCCGCGACGGCCATCAGCACTCCGCTCAGCCGCGACGTCCTGTGGCGAGCGCTACATCCTCCTCTCAGATGATCCGCACCGCAGCCGCCGCAACTTACAGGGCACGCCGCGATCCCGGGCCGGCGCGGCCACGTCCCTCCGCGCATCCGCGCTGCGCCGATCCCAGCGTGGCGATGTCGCTCCTCGCCGACAACGACCCCTCCGACGACGACGCGCCGAGCCGCCCCACCACCTTCCTCAATGAGGCGCCGTGAGGTGCCGCGTCGTGAGTATCAGTCCTCCGTCGCCCCCCACCCCACGAGACCCTTCACGATCTGCTCCTGCTGCTAGCGTGCTACACTGCTGCTGCTCGTGTGACCCGATTTGAGTTGTTCCGATCCGTTTATCCGTCCAGGGCGCCTTCAAGTCGGCCGTGCTGAACAGCTTTCAATTCTTTAACCTGGCGCCAAATAAAGTTTGGAGGTTACAAGAGCATTGATCATTTCCTTCTGGTAGTTAATAAAGTTATTTCTTAGATAGGATAGATTAAAGGTGATATGTGATCGCCCATGATTTCTGAAGCAAAGTTGTTATATGCATGCTTGCTCATCAGGTTCATAGGATTATTGAAGGTGATACGGCTGAACCTTGTGATCCTGACAGGGAGACGGTTGCTTCTAATAATAATGTGGCTAGCCAGATGTATGTATCATCGATATATAGATCTAGATAAAATTTGTTTCTTTCATGTGCCTATAGATCTTCTTGGTTTCTTTTGTATGTTATTATAATGTTGTGCACAATGTTTTAGGGCTCATCCACTTCCTGCATTTGATTCTTCCTCCAATGTAGAGGCCCACGGGCTCGAAACAAATGAGGGTGATGTAAGGAGCACTAATGATACTGATCACATTGTACATCTCATTTTCACGTAAACAATTTCCTATGTGATGCTTGATTTTTTTTTTCTTTCCTATGCAATGCATGTGATCCTAGATGTTGGTGAACAACAGGGAAACTATCCCTAGGTATCCAAATTTATGCATAGTGGTTGCAAATTAAATTAACCACAATGCTTAAAAATATCCAGCTAATTACAACCTATGTCTCCAGCACACTAGCTTCCTAATAAATACTGATTATGGCACATGACTATTTTACTTGTTGGGAAGAAAATTTCTGACCTGAAGTGAACAGCTAGATGTGAATTTTGCGAAGGAAATTTTGCTTCCTACAATGCAGTCTTTTCCTGTTGCTTATACTGGAATGGTCGATCCTTTGTTTTTTAATTGAAACGCAGCTTATTTTTCTTGATTGGGCAATTGTTCTTTGTTAGCTGACTCTACTCTCTGTGTTCAATGCATGTTATCAGACCGGCCTTTTATGGGGATTCCTATTATTTTAATAATGCATTGTTGGTTTTTGAAGTTAAAAATAAACAATTTTGATGGATAATTTCAGTTGCATGGATATGATCATACATGGAAATAGGACAAGACTCAAGGGTGGTGCTGCTCTCTGCCTGCTGCCACGCTGCTGTTGTTCCTCTCTTCTTGCCGACACAACCAAGGTGAGTTGGAATGTATTTCCAGGTTTTCATAAAACGAGTTTCAGGTAGCAAAAGAAGAACCGAAATACAGTTACCATGTAGTATTTCAGTATCAATGCATCAGCTATTCTATTGAGAAGTAGGCTTCACTTGTTTTCATGAAACGAGTTTCAGGTAGCAAAAGAAGGAACTGCTCTATTGCAGTCCCATGTATCTGATTGCTGCTAGCCTCGATTGAGAAGTAGGCTTCACTTGTTTTTTTCATGAGAAAATAGAGGTCTTCAGTAGTAACACTTGTCCTGCGCATCACACTATCACCGATATATTATACTAAATCTGGCACTTCAGAAATAATTGCTTTACCACTTTATTGCTTGGTAGCAAACTGAATAACTGGTGTATCAAAATGTTTTCTCTACCGAAATGTGTAAGCAGACCACTGAGATGCAGTGTTGCTTGTATTTATGTGAGACTGCAGTAAGGAGCTTGCACTAAGAAATTGCTCGCAGACAGGTTGCTGCTTCCGAGAGAGGATGGTGGTGCTTGTTCCTTGATTGTTCGAGTAGCCAGCTAGGCGTGTTGGATTGTACCTGGATCTGTATTTGCTAGATTGGAGCTGATTAAGGATGGGTTGTATGCACTAGCCTGCTCAACACACGGTCTACAGGTAAGCCGTTCGATGAAATGCCCTTAAACTCACCCTAATAGTAGGTTCTGTGGTGGTTGTTCCATGGCCTACATCAGTGGAGGACTCGGGGTTTCCCCTCCTTCCAGTTTTCAGCAAGTCGTGTTCACTGAATTTTGCTGTTACATTTCTGACAGTTTGTACTAAACCTTTCATTGGATGCCTTTAAGGGCTTCAAATTGTTATGAAAAGGAAGCTGGTGTCGGTTTGCCAAGATCAGTGAGACGCAATGCAAGTAGTGTATTTTGCACATGAATTTTTATTTTGCTGCATTATTTGTATTGCCTTAGAATGTTTCTGAGATTTGTTAAAATGTTTGTTCCATGTTGGGAACTCACGATTTTTTCCTAACTTCAACTGAAAGCAGTCAGAAGTTTGGCTAATAATACTCCGAAATCTTCTGCATGGCCTATTCTTTTCCCCATTGGAAATATATTTAATTGCCGTCTTATTTTATTTTCCTTCTGTATTCTTTTCCTATTGACAATATATTTTATTGGTTGTTTGATTTATAGTATAAAATATCACCGTAGCGTTAGCACGGGCAGTATACTAGTCTCCTATACGTGACGGTACATCATATCATTCGTGTGATGTGGGCAACGCAAACTTAGGCAGGTATATATGGCACGCAGCAGGCCGGCGTGTAGCACGTTGGTCGCAAGATAAGAGGGATCTCCAGCAGCACTGGTATAGGATCGTCGGAGTACAAGCTACGGTGCAACCAGACAACCAGGCCCAACTGTCACTCTGGCAACTTGCCGCCAAAACGCAAACCGATATCGTGTCCATATATATGATGTGGCGGGTTAGTCCGTAAGCAGAGTCCTGATCTTGATCGGTTTTCCGAGAACTAGAGAGCGAAACTCAAACTCGACCATTGCTATAATATAGTTAAGCACTCATAAATCACAACTCGTAATGACTAATGCGATTGAGTATAGAGTGCTGACCGACAGGGGTGGATCTAGGATTTCATGCCGATGATGTCACTAAAACTTGTCGACTAACTATCACTAAAACAAATAATACACGTAAAGAGGTGCAAATACCATTGTATTATACTCTTCTTGCCATAGCTAAAGCAATAAATAAGTCAAAAATGAATTGTGTCTAACTTGGAAAGTCAAAAATGGATTAATCCAAAACAATACTAAATGCTAACTAAAGAATGCTAACTTGGAAAGTCAAAGATGGATTATGATGCAATCTGAAAAATAATATGTGTTGAAATTTACAAATATTTACATTTAACCATAACATTGAATTTAAAAATCATTGGCATTTACATCTCAAGGAAGCATTTTTCGATTACAATTTCTCATCTTTTGAAGGGGATCCATTACAACATTGTTTAGGATTGTTGTACAGAACTCAAAGCAAATGATACAATTAATTACCCATTGCCATAAACGTGTTCCCAATACGGTTACATGATATCGTCTTCACCATTTCCATGGCCGAGAAGCTCCTCTCCATAGATGTCGATCCAACCCCATGCGCATTCCTCCGGTCTCGATCCAAATTAGCCCGTAGTACCAACATGCAAAACAAATACTCCTTACTTGCATACAAGATCCGCCCTACTGACCAATGATTACTCCTTAGGGTAATGGAGAACGATTTGTTAGGAAATCTCAAAAAAATCATAATTTTGATTAACTCACGTACGGTTGTGCGTTCTATTCCCTAAAAACTTGGAATAATTTAGTTCAAGGAAATAAATAATTTCATTAAACACAAGTAAGAAGTCTTCTGGAGGGGTGGCTTCTTACTTCAGTTAGTCCCCATGTTCTCTGAATGCATCTCTTA